GGCATTCGTGAGCCCGAAGGGCATCACTAACCATTCGTATGACCCATACCGCGTAATGCACGTGGTCTTGGGTTCGTCTCCCTCGGCGATGCGAACTTGGTAGTAACCTTTCTGTAAATCCATCTTGGTGTACACTTGGGCTCCCCCAAGTTGATCAAATAAGTCAGCAATCAAAGGGATGGGGTAGCGATTCTTGATAGTTACCTTGTTGAGTGCCCGATAATCTACGCACATGCATAGTGTTCCATCATGCTTCTTTTGGAAGAGTACGGGTGCGCCATAGGGGGCCTTGCTCGGGCGGATTTTCCCAGTCTCTGTGAGCTCCTTGAGCTGCCTTCTCAATTCCTCGAGCTCAAGGGGAGACATTCGGTAGGGGGACATGGCTGGTGGCTTGGTGCTTGGCTCCAACTCAATCTTGTGATCGACACCTCGCCTTGGTGGAAGCTTGCTTGGCAACTTAGCAGGCATGACGTCCTTGTTCTCCTCAAGAACTCCTCGGATAAGGGAGGGCACCTTCGGGGATTCCTCCTCATGGTTATCCTCCTTTAGTACTGCCAAGTAGGTTGGCTCTCCTCGCTTTGCCCCCTTGGCAAGCTGCATCGCGGAGAGTTGCTTGCTAGCACTCTTGTTGTCCCCTTCTATAGTTGGAACCATGCATGGAGAGCCCTTCTCCAATATATAAACAGTACTAAAGGATGACATTGGTATAGCTGTTACCTGTCGTAAGAAGTCCATGCCGAGTACGACCTTGAAGTCGTCCATGGGTGCTATTGAGAAATTCACGCGTCCTTGCCATGTCCCTAGGCGCAGACTCACGTTGCTAGCAATTCCGTCGAGTCGACGAGCATTGGCATTGACAGTCTTTAACCACCCAGTTTTCTCGGACCAAGATAGTCCTAACCTTGCGGCTTCCTCCTTGGTAATGAAGTTGTGACTGGCTCCTGTATCCACCAGAGCCTTTGTCAGAGTCCCGTTAATATGTGCTTCCACGTACATGAGCCCCTTGCTAGACGTGATGCGCTCGGGCTTGGTATTGAGGGCATTGAGGACTTGCAACGAACCTATCATTGTTGGCTCTGCCTCCTTAGTCTTAGTCTCGGACTGCTCCATGATGGTTGAGAGGGACCCTAGCTTTGGACAATCTTTCATGGCATGTGGCCCCTTGCACACGAAGCAGCCTCCCTTAGGGACAAACGCCTGTTTCTTCTCCTCATAGCTGCGGCGTCCGAAGTTTCGATCCTCCTTGGCCGGCCCTCGTCGTTGGTCTCGGGAGTCTCGGTTCTTATTGTCCCTTTTATCTCCCCCACCTTTGGCGAGATACTTCTTGTCTTTCTTGGTGGCATCAGAAGATGAGGATGGACGGAACTCGATTAATGATTCGGCAGCGACAATTGCATCATCAACGGACTTGACGCCCCGCCGTTGTAACTCTTGTTTCGCCCAATGTTGGAGTCCATCGACGAAGAAGAAGAGCGAGTCGTCCTCGGTCATATTGGGAATCTGGAGCAAAAGGGTGGTGAACTCTTTGACATAGTCGCGTATGGTCCCTTTTTGCTTCAGCTCCCGTAATTTTCGTCGGGCCTCGTAGACAACATTCTCCGGATAGAATTGTCGTTTAAGTTCTTTGACAAAGTTCTCCCATGTGTCTATCCGGCACGTGCCTCGCTCGATGTCACCGTGCTTCCTGCGCCACCATAAATAGCAGTATCGGAAAGATAAAGGGAAGCAGGCTTTACCTTGGTAGCTTCATCCGTGAGACTTATGCCCTCGAAATATTGTTGCATCCTCCATAAGTTGTCAACTTCTTTGGCGTCCCTTACGCCATTGTAGCCTGTCGGCCTCGGACACTCCACCCTTGGTGCGGGCGTGGAGTTGCTAGCCTCCCCACTAGCAATCGCCTTCTTGCAAACAGTGAGATCCTCACGCATCCCCTTGATGCTTGCTTGGAGATCCTTCACAAGGTCTTCCAGGTGATCCAAGCGGTCCTCTGTGGAGCTTTGTGCATCGAGCCCCTCTTGGACAACACCTTTGACGGACTCGATTTCCTCCAAGACGTGTGTCTCCAACGTTTTGAAGGTGAACTCGACCCTTTCGAGTTTCTCAGTCATTTCCCCAACGACTTGGTCTAACGGCGAGACCTCTGCGCGTACTCGGCTTTGGTCCCGACGTTTCTTGTCCTTGGTTCCGGTGGTGTGTTCCCGCCCTCGGGTTTGCTCTTCGCTTACACCTGACCCGGACGCATTATGTTCTTTCTCACCTGCCATACTTATACGGTACCGAGCGTTGCTCTGATACCACTTGTCACGCCCTTGTTTCTCGAACTTGGTTGCGTGCGGCCTTAGCCTCTCGTGCGCCCTTCGCAACTAGCTAAGTCAGCCTCACCTCACTCGGGATCGTATTCGGTGTGTGCAAGTGCTTTGGCTAAAGAAAGCTAGAAAAGAGAACTTGAAGGGAAAATGCTTCTATTACTCAAACTCTAGTACAAGTGAGCTCTCAAAGCTTGGATGATTTGCAAATGAGGGGGCCTCCTCTATTTATAGGCACCACCCCCTCTAAGGAAGTCTCTAGATCCTACAAGGGTCTTGGTCTTTCTAGACCCTTCCACACAAATCATACTCTTTCTACACATGTCGTAGAACCTTCTACACAACTCAAGATGATTCTTGCCCTTTCTACAAGTCTCTACAAGGTTCTAGGATGTTCTTGTCCCTTCTACAAATATCTACATAATTCTGGAGCCTTCTAGAAGCTTTCAGTCAAGTCTAGGCCTTTCTAAAAACTTCCATATACAAGTAACTAGGTTTAGTGCGAAAAAAAAAAGACGAGCAAGACTCGTTCTTGCTCGTGTGCGTGCGGGGAGTGATGTGGGGCGTTACATTGCGCTTCAATTGCAGGAGGAAGCGAAAGATGAATTTCCTAATAAAAGAAATTTAGAAATTAATATATGTAATAAAATAAAATACCCTAATAAAATAATCATAAGATTTTTATTTTATTCTTTTTTTACTTTTACACCAAAATTAATATAATGGATAAATTAATGAAACTTAGATGAAAAGAATTAAAAAAATTAACGTTATTTTAAACTTTAAAAATAACACCAATTATTTGAAGGACTAATTTAAAATTTAGAAATGCGAAAAAAATAATTATCTAGACGTAGGTTGTAATCAGAAAGATCTTAGAACTAAGTGTAGGGTTCTTTAATTGTATCTATAAATATCTCATGCACTTGAGCTTTTAGCAAATTTTATCAGTTCTATTTTTGAAACACTTTTCTTTTTCCGTGACACAGGTAGCAAAGCTACGACTATAATCGTTAGGAGAAGAATCGGCCTTATCTATCCCTGTGGTTTTTGTAGTTAAACACCAGATAAAGCTGCAGTCAGAAATGGAAGCATTTGAAAACACATTTTCTAATACATTTTTTTAGAAAATATAAATTTATAAATTTTACTTTTTATTTAATTAAATTCAGTTATCATTGCTACTTTTAATATATATATATATATATATATATATATATATATATATGAGTTATGTTAATTATATAAAAATATAATATTAGTTTTATTATAAAATCTTAAAATATTAAATTTGTATATATATATTTTTCAATCCGTTTACTTTTAATATATATATATATATATATATATGATATGTTAATTATATCAAAATATAATATTAGTTTTATTATAAAATCTTAAAATTGTATATATATTTTTTTCAATCCGTTTACTTTTAATATATATATATATATATATATATATATATATGAGATAGGTTAATTATATAAAAATATAATTGTATATATGTTTTTTTCAATCCATTTATAAATCCTTATCTCACATTTAAGAATCGAAACCAATAATCATTTATATACATATTTCTCTCTTAATTTACTCAAATATATTTTAAAAATTAAATCAAAACAGACTAAGATTCAAAGTAAACAATACACATGAGATGTGACCATAAAAATTCTATGGAAACCATTCTTATTCTTATACAAAATAATTTATATTTCAGATTATATTCTAATAAACTTTTTCATGCAATTTTATATTTCACTGTATTTATGCAGTTTGAGAAGGTCATTCTTGTCATGCTTATAGAATTCACACCATTTTGTACTCTTTTTTTTACTGAAGCAAGTTACCCCTTTTTAAAATTTTATGAACTAACTCTCTGAAAGGTAGTGATTGTCAAAGTAGAATCCATCTCTAAAATTTGTTTCAATGCATGGTTAGAAAATCAACTTAGTGTTCGCTTGTTTAAAAGAAACTAAACTATCTACCAATTATACTAATTTGTTTTTTCAATGCACATAGTTAGAGAATCAAATTCCTGTCGGCATGTTTAAGAAACTAAACTATCTGTCGATTATACTAAATTTTAGTGGTATTGTTTTATATTGTATTAGAGAAACGAAGGTGTACCCTCCTCATGTACATTCTTCTTCGTGCGCAAAACAGTCTGCTAGTGCTCAACGCAATTTTTTCCCTTAAATGTTACATACTACTAAATATATTGTATTTTTCAAATTTCTAGGCATATTTAACAAAGGAACAAGACAGAATACGATGGCAGCTGAGATTACAGTCGGTTAATAAGACAATGACTGTCTAAGGTTTAGCAATTATACAATTTTATCTAATCAAGATACATTAACATAAGGCATCATTACCTTTCTCATAGCCATTGTACTTTTCTTTTTCTATTCTAGTATAATACAACCCTGGTTTTCTTCCACCACAAAACAAAAGGGTATTCTCTGTTTTGTCTCTCATACCGAGTCCACGGGATCAAATTCATGCTCTAATCAAACAAATGTTTTAATGAAAAGAAAAACGTCAATTATCATATAACTTTGTCATTGCTTTTCACTTGGAGACTTACAATCAGAAACTAGGAATTTCAAGCAAAGTTGAGTAATTGGATTACTTATCTGAAAGAAAGTGGTAATATATAATACCATCACGGTTGGCCGATGCTGTCTAATGGTGGTAGAAACATTCTTTTTTTTGGATTTTTCCTGGAGCAGCATTAGGTTGGTGCTTACACAACTCCACCACCCCAATCCTGTGCCTCCTGTGATTGGATTTTGCAATGAAGGAAACAAGTTTGTTCTCGAATATGAGTACATGACTGCTGGTTCGCTCCATGATCACATTTATCACAAGAGGACTAAAGTTGCCTCACTTTTGTATAAGAGGAAGCTTCAAATTTACTTGTGCGTGGAACGCGGACTGCACTATTTTCTTCACACAAGAGTCAAGTATTTAATACATTCTGAAAACATGTAAAACAGTATTGTTACAAGTTTGAAATGGTACAACAACCAAGCTTTTTCACTAAATACGAGTTACAGGTTTCTTAATACACTAAAAAGCATATTAAATAAAAATAACTGAATCCATTAATGACAATGCAAACAAATACTAGGTACGAACGTAGTAATTTCAAAGTTCAGATTCTGGAAACGCGAGAGTAAAGGATGATAGTTGTGGACTCACTGCAAAAGTACAAAAAGTTGTTAGCATGAATTATTGTGTAAACAAATCAATAATAACTTCCTGTTTCATTAAACACTAAAAAATAACTAAAAGTTCAAACAACATAAAATCTATAGCCACTGGAGAACAACGGAGCGATTGTGCCCTACTTATTTGTTTGTCAGAATATAGAAATGAGAATCAACCAAAACATGAGAGACTGAAAGAACATACACAATGAAAAGCTAATAAAAATGAATTTTGACCAAGTTACTTCAACGTGGTATTTAAACTTTTCAACTTACATCCTTAGTTCAAAAATACAATAGATGGAACATGTTGGACTCTCTGGTAATCCTCTCCAGCAGTTCCAAGCCTGGTCTTGAATGATTTAGGCATCCATCTGATTTCTAGCTCCCGAAGACTAGTAATATATTTTAGCCCATCAGGAACCGCCTTTAAATTGTTGCAATCAGATATGCTCAATCGGTGAAGATTAGGCATGGCTTGATTCTCTATTGTCCACTCATCTAAATTGTGCAAGCCACGAAGTACTAGAACCTCAAGTTGAGGGAAACCATTTCGTGAGCATGCCATTTTCTTTCCAACAAACATATCCCACCCATTTAGAAACTTCAAGTTAGGAAGCTTCTCTAGTGTTGCCATTGGATCATCCACAAGTCTGCAACCCCATATAGTCAACTTTGAAAGCTGTGGAGGAAACAGTGAGGCATCTGGCAGCCTTTCCATCCGCCCTTCAACCTGCAGCTTACGGAGGGAAGGACAGCCTAACACCAATTTTTCAACATCTACCACATTTTCAGGGAAAGAGAGCATGTCAGTCCTTAAAGACAAGGATAGAAGGCAATCCAACCTTTTATTAGGGGGACTGAAACTTTCACTAAACTTTTGAAAATGTCTTGGGTCATTCAGTACTAACTTTCTGAGCTTTTTTAACTTCAATAGATCTTTAACATCACATTTGCTGGCAGGAAAATTTACTAACGTCTGTAAATTAGTCAAATTTTCTAATTTCAGGTTGTTAGAAATATTCCCACACCAATTTGGAAGATATAGATGCCTCAACCGTTTCAACTTACATATTACATTTGGAATTTCCACTGTTGAATCCCAGCTCACTTTATTGACAGTTTGCAAATTTAGGAACTGCAGATTCTCCAAATTACCCAAGGAAGATGGCAGCACTTGAATACGAGTCCTTTTCAGGCTCAGAAACTTCAACCATAAAAGATTCCCCACTTCTTTAGGCAATGATTGTCCCTTCAGTCCCTTAATTCCTTCAAGATCTAGAACTCTAAGTAATTTGAACTTCACAAAAATGCCTCTGACTAGGTCCCAATTTTCCATCCTACACTTCTTGTCATGAAAAAATACAAGGGATCTGAGGTGTTCATTCACTTGCTTGTCTTGTGGAATCAACTGATCAATATGTTGATCCAAGTAGACAGCAAACCTACGAACCTCATCAATTTGCCTTGCATCTGATACATTAGATGAAGTAACATCAATGGTACTATTTTGTTGTGATCTATTAATAATGTAGAGAAAATTTTCTTTTCTGGCCTTGGACCAACACAGATCACGCATTAAATCATGGAGCCTGCAGGTTTTAATCCGACCAGTAGACCCCTTCTGACCAACTTGAACCATGCAGCGGCTAATTAAGTTACCTAGGAAGCGTTCAGCAACATCCTCCATTGTCTCATCCCGTCCAATCTCATATTGAGACGAAACAACACCTTCTGCTACCCATAACTGCATTAGTTTAGTTTTTGGTATCTCAGAATCTTCAGGGAATTGACTTAAATAGAGAAAACATGGTTTCAGTTGACAAGGCAAGTCCTGATAACTTAAATCCAACACTTCATCTAATCTTCTCCTATCACGTATCTCTCCTCCCATTAGGTATGAACTTAGATGCTTATGTATTTTTTCCCACTCGGGGACTGACTCCTTTGTAGCCAAAAGCCCTCCAAGAACAATGATAGCCAAAGGCAGACCACCGCACTTTGCAACCATTTCTCTGCCTAATCTTTTGAAGTTATCAGAAATTGTGGATTCTGTTAAAGTCACAGGCTACTTATCACATTGACAATAACAAACAAGCATATAGAAATTCTTCCTTATACGTATATGCAGGAAATCGATATATGAGAGGTAATTACACATTTCCATTATGATATGCAGAAACATCTACATGTACAACCTTAAATTAAATAATGATTATCAATAACCACACAGTTAGTTGTTAAAAAACCTTTATTTTAAGAGTCACATTCTTAAATATAATTGAACAAAAAGGTACCTTACCTTTCAAAACAAGCCAAATGCTATTAAGGACACCAAATGTAGGAAGTTCCTGTCATCCTCTGTTTCCCATTTTGACTTAACACATCTTATAGAGTTAAATGAAGAAAATAAAATAATAAAAGAAAAACAGTTTTTGATTAAATAAAATTTGAAATTATTTAATTCATCTAGTCGCACAGCACGGGAGTGATATCTAATTTCATATGAAAGCAGAGCACTTTCTGTTTTCCCAATACTTTAAATTTCCTTTGAATTTCATATTACAATATATGGCTGTTTTTATTCCTTAGACACCTGAACTATCACTTATACAGCCCAATAAACTACAAAATAGAAAATCAATTTTTTGGAACAATTTATTTATGCTTTAAAAAAGAAAAGAAAAGAAAAAAACTATTTTTACTTATAAATATGTGCCTAAAAATTTATAATAATTATGCGAATTTCTCGAAAAAGAATATAAAAAAATACTTTTCTCACTTTCCTCTGGTGATTACACAAATGATAAATATGAAAGATAAACTAGAGACTTGGGAAATTAAACATGAAATTACGAAACATACTTTATGGACATTACTAATTAAATATGTTTACTCACGGAAGACATTTCTAGGTACCTGGGTTATCTTGTCTTGGGAAAGCTTTTTTCTTAAACAATGCCCAACTGTCCTCTGCATTTAAGCAACTAGGTTCGTGAAGCAAGCCTTCAGGATCCACATGCAATGAAATGTCTTTATTGCGGGATGTAAAAACTATCTTAGTCCTTGTATTTTGAGATGGAAATGCAGGACTTAAAATGTCCCATGCCTCATTGCTCCATATGTCATCCAGGATGATCAAACATTTTTTATCTTGCTGAACTTTAAACAACTTCCTTGCTAGTTCATCATCTTTCATTTTCGTAATCTCATCCCTTTCCTCTTTGGTAGGAGAAATAAGCTTCAGTAAAATTCCCTCCCAAACGTCCCTTTTCTTGCATTGCTGAGATATATAGGCCCACGCAAAACCATCAAAGTTTCGCCTAATTGCATTGTAATGGTAAATGCCTTTGGCAAGTGTAGTTTTACCAAGACCACCCATTCCACAAATATAAGCGAATCGACAGTCCTGACTTTCATTTAATAGCCATTCTGCCACTTTGTTTATATCCTTATCTAAGCCAACAATGAACTCTTCAACAATGTGAGAATAAGACCATCTCAATTCTCTTTTCACCTCAGATGCCTCTTCATTGTCTTTTGTTGCAGTCAAACCATAAGTTTGTAAGCTTCTTGTGAGGTCAGATATTCGAGAATTGATTGATACGAGCTCAGAGCCAACTTTGTGAATATGTTTAGTTCTGGAGAGTGGATTTCTAGTTCCAATACTTATGCCAAATGCAACCTTAATAGCATAAATTTCAATCACGTCCTCTGCATCGTAGGCTAATTTTCTAACCTCCGAAATATAATTCTTTATAGTATCACCTTCATCCTGCCTGCGCTCAGCATCTCTTAGGAAGCATTGCATCCTCTTTAGTTCATTTTGCATGCTTTTGACCTCGTCACTCACCCCCTTTAACAATCTGGCCTCTTCAATCAGTAGATCAGCAAGCCTATCAACTGCAAAGGACACAACTGCCTCAACCATCTTGATTATTCTGTCTCCTTCAAGAACAAAATCATGAGTTAAAACTTCTTTTCATATACATTAAGCCTTACATATGAGACAGCTACTTTACTCTTATAAAACAGGCATTCCTATTTGCAACTAGATGGATAGAATTCCTTTGTATACAGGTGATAAATGAAATTATGAATGTGTATTAATTAGTTGAATTTTCATAAGATTTTGCAAAACAAATTATTTAGATTCTAAAAATACATGGCAATCAAATGAAATTTCCCTAATCTTTCTCCTCGTTTTCCATTTCAAATTGGAAAAGGGGAATTAAAACAAAGCTGGGCAAAACTAAAATATGCAAACTGAAGGAAAGGAAAGGACAAACTGAAGGTTGAAAAGCAGTGAGAAGAAGAAGAAGAAGAAGAAGAAAAAACGGAAAAGGATCTTGAGCGCAGTTGAACTTTCTATACAAAGTTAAATCTGTAGTGTATCCTCCAACCATGTTCCAGAAACCATAAACATCCAGTTATGGTGTACTCTTGTGCCTATTTACTTCAATTGCAAAGCAAATTCCTACACTGTCAGAAGCAGACGAGCGTTGACTTTAGAAAAAAATAATGTATGCTTAATAAATTCTTGAAGAATACCATAAGCTTAATAATGTATGATTTCATATGAAGGATGATTCTACGGCTAGGAATTTGTCGCATGCATAAATTTAAAGGGGCAAAGTATAACAGGAAAATTAGATATAGAATCAATTATGGGAGCATAATTAACGAGATCCAGTTGAGGATAACCATATTATAGAACACAACAAGAGATTAAGGAAAAAGTAGGACTTGTACAAGAAGAAGAAGAAGAAAAAGAAGAAGAAGAAGAAGAAGAAGAAGAAGAAAAAGAAGAAGAGGAAATACTTCAATTTTTTGAACCAAATGTGTTGTGTCGTTCTGGAACGAAGACACTTCGGAATTTGAATGCTCCATCGATGATATTTTATTGCATATATAATACTAAAAAAATTGCCAGGAAATTGCGTTTGCTTTTGGCTTTTTTTTTCTTAAAAAGAATAATTTCGAGTGAAGTCATTTTAAATGAAATAATTTATGTTTAAATATTTTTTTTAATTTTAAGCAAATAAGAATATTTATTATAATTTTTATTTAATATAAAAATTATCTATAAAATTTAAAACTTAGGTCGGGCTATAATTAATTTTCAATGTAAAATTAAATATATAAAAGTATTATCTAAAATTAACATTTTAATATGGTTTTAGATTATGAAACTAAATATGCATCGAATATAATGTTTAAGAAAAGTGTTAAATGAGCTGTGTTAGTTGTACCATACTAACACTTTTATGTAATAATTTAATAAGTGATAATATGCAGAGTAATTCTACAAGAATTACTTTTTAATAATTTAATAAGTGATAGTTTCAAAAATAACTTACATTTAAATGTTTGATAAAATGAAATGAAAAAAAAGATTTACTTTTCATCTATTATATGTGATACTTAAAAGTGAGTTAATTAAAACAATTATATTAAAAGAAACAATGAAGAGTAAGAACGAGATATATTTTTACTTCAAATTTAACCATAATTCTCAATAAACTTTATCTATAGTACCAAACATCAAATAAAACATAAACAAGAAAACTAAAAATAAAAACTTCGTATCTTTAACTTTTGTTTTTACATCAAGAAAATATAAGCATTTAAGTATTAAAGATGAAATCGATGTATATTAATCAAACACCAAATAATAATCATCTAATACTTAAATAAATATGTGTTTAAATAAACTAAAATTTTAGTAAAACCTAACTCACTTGTTCCACACGTTTAAATACAATATTCTACAAATCCAAACTCACATACCTAGTTGTATATCCACGTACCTCGTAAAGTTTATGGTAAAAAAAAAAAGAAATACAGAGGTGGTATATTAGTATGGCACCTCAACTCTCTTTTTTCGGATAAAAGATGGAATTTGAGCACACCAATCATTGAAAAGTTGTATTTATTAGTGTGTAATTCTCTTAGTTTATTTTTATGAGTACATTTTTTTTTTAATTTTAATTATTTTTAAGTTGTGTTTTGAGACAGGACTTCATATTAAAGAAGTTGTACACAAAAGTCGTACATATATACTACTTCTTATAGAAAATATGAATATATTATATAAAAAAAATTAAATTTTAGTGTTTCATTGTCCAGATAAATAATTACTACAATAATAATCTTTGTTTCGATAAAATAAATATTTATTTGGCTTATTTGGATTAGGTTAATCTATTTTATTATGAATACGATTTGTTGTTAGTATTCTTAATTGTTATCTTATATTTAAATAAGGAGATCAATAATCTTCGTTTCGAACGGGATGAAATTGCACTTCATAAACTTTGTAAGTAGTTTGTAGTTTATATACTGGTTAATATATGTGTCAATGTGTACATGACAAAATGAACATACAATAATGACATGAGAAGAAGAGAGTCAAAGAGATTAAAACTCTCCCCAATCATACTACTAGTCATTTTATTTGATAGTATAATTTACGGTACGAGACATCTACCACAATGAAAATTTGATATCTCTTGGAAATCAAACTCACAATTTTCTCAAGTGTAGTTTTGAATAATACACATCCCTGCACGTCGTTCATTTTCTTTGAGCAAGTTAGTAATCTTTTGGATAATGATATCTTACTCATAACATGCACGTTGCTTTGGTGTCTCATTCAACAAACCATGATATTGTACTTTCAAATGTGGATTACATGAGAGCACATATGGGTAAAGTATGTGCTCCCTTCAAAATTGAGTTCATGTACTCAACAAGATTTAGTATCATGTGCCCGTACTTCTTGCCCCCATTATACATTTGAGTCTATTTTTTCAAAGGAATTTCATCTAACCAAGAAACAGTGAAATTCAAACTTCATAAAATTTAATTTAACTATTAGTTTAGGTTGTTTCATCTCATATGCTATGCAATAATAAGATTTTGAGTTAGTAAATATAATTACTAAATAGAATTGAAAGTGAAAATATATAATAGTAATAATAAAGTATTACCCATGTTAATAACTTGTTATTTTAGTTTTGCATTCTTGAAATTAGTAGCAATATATCGAATGCAATATACTGATTGAAAACCATTAGTATCCCAGTCAACACCTTTAGAGTGTAAAGCAAACAATGTTGTTGTTCCTCTGTTTGTTATCAAACATAAGTTTGGCTAAGGTGTGACATATTGTCTCAAAAGTTGAAAAAATCATATCGAAGTATCTTTTGTCTCTCTTTCAACTGTTATAAATATTAGAGGAAAAATGTTTTAATTCTCGTCTTCTGTAGTTGTCATCAACAAAGTTGTACGATATTTACTTATTAAGAATGTGTCATCAAATTGCCAGTCGGCTTACAATAATTAAAATCTTCAATGCATGGTTTGAAAGACAAAAAAATTGTCAACGATATAAGGTCTAACTACATATTGAATAATTGTACCAAGAACACTTTGTTGAACAACTTGCAACCACTTAAAAAGACTATTGTAAGATTCTTCTCAGTCTCGAAAAGGCATAACTAATGTTTTTTGTTTTCTGATCCATGTCTTTTTATAGGTTAGTGAATAACTATATCAACTTTTTATTTTTGCAACGTTTTGATAAAAACAAAAGGATTTGTTTTGATAAGTTCAAAAATGATATGTGCAATTTGAGTTAAGTCTAAATTTATATGATTAGTGGATAATATTGTTGACAAACAAGAGTGTGGAAATTTAATTTTTTTTAATCTCCCATTGTTGTCTAATTTTACTAAATGATGCTCTCAATCTCCATTGACATCCATTGTTATAATATATGAAATACATAACATATCAATCACTCTTAGACTCAACAACATAAAATTTGTAATCATTCTGAATATGAAACTCTTTAATTGCACTTATAACTGTATCTTTAGATTGAAAGCACATTTATTTGCTGATATTATTTAGGTTGTCTAGTTCAACAATATATGTGATGAAGGGAGGTAATTGTGTCATCTATGTTGTCATATATGTCTTATTCTTCTTCATCATTAAAGTCACATAGAAGATTTTGTATTAAAAGTTCATTCTCATTTCTCGTTAAACTGTCACCCACCTCAAATTTGTTGATCTATAGTGAATAAAAAAATATATAACACTTAATATAAAACAAGACATAAAACTTAAATTAAAAAAAATAATATAACACTTTAGTGAATAAATTAACATAATCATAATTGTATTATGAGAGAAACACTCTAAATATAATACCTTCGTTGATGTTGTGAATATTGGAAATAGAGATGTCAAAATAGACTTAGTCTAAAAAATAAGTTAAGTTAGGAATAAAGTTTATGGTTTAAATTTATTAGAACTATTTGGGTCCAACTCATTTAGGTCATGACTTATATGGGTTTTGACCAAGTTGGTCCAGTAATTATGGATATGTTTTATAGAATAGTAATTATTTTTAAATAAAAATAAAAGTAATATTATTTTAAAAAAATATATGAATTATAAATTAATTTGAAAAGGATTCACTTATTCTAAAGTATCAGAGTATGTTTTTAACAATTACTTACTTCAAGATCTAATGGATCTGTTTCTAACAATTACTTACTTCAAGATCTAAAAATTGACTCGTTAACCCATTAACCTAACATAGGGTCAGGTTAGGCTAAAAATTCTAGTCCTTTTAAAATATAGGTCATATTAGACCATCGTTTTGACAACTCTAATTAAAAATGAATGACAATACTTAATGAAAAGCAATGTCTTGTGTATGATGTGGTCACATATACATGTATTTATAGGATTTGTGAGATGCACTTAACCAAGACTTGCCAAGAAACTTTGACATTATTCTTGCTAAGAAAACTTTTATAGAATTACATTATCAATGCACAACCCATGAAAGTTGTTGGAGGTCTATACAAAGTCGTGCTTTGGACCACAACTTTAACATTGTGTGTAAGGTGAAGT